CTCGACAAATGGGTTGAGACGAACCACCTTCTTTCAGATACTCAATTTGGTTTCCGTAGGGGTAAGGGAACGAACGACTGTCTCGCGTTGCTTTCCTCGGAAATTCAGTTAGCTTTTGCTAAGAAAGAGCAAATGGCTTCTGTGTTCTTGGATATCAAGGGGGCTTTTGATTCAGTATCCGTTGAAGTTCTTTCAGAGAAACTCCACGCTTGTGGATTGTCTCCATTAATGAATAATTTTTTGTACAATTTGCTGTCAGAAAAACATATGAGCTTTTCTCATGGAAACTCTACAGCTTTTCGATTTAGCTACATGGGTCTCCCCCAAGGCTCATGTTTAAGCCCCCTTTTGTACAATTTCTACGTTAGAGAAATTGATGTCTGTCTTAGTGACAATTGCACGTTGAGACAACTTGCAGATGACGGCGTAGTGTCTATCACAGGGCCAAAAGAGGTTGACCTGCAAGGACCCTTACAGGATACCTTGGACAATTTGTCTACTTGGGCTATTCAGCTAGGTATCGAATTCTCCACGGAGAAAACTGAGTTGGTCGTTTTTTCTAGGAAGCATAGCCCAGCACAACCGAAGCTTCAACTTTTGGGTAAACCGATCACTCATTCCATGTCTTTCAAATATCTTGGGGTCTGGTTCGATTCCAAATGCACCTGGAGATCCCACATTGAGTATCTGAGAAGAAAATGCCAACTAAGGATCAATTTCCTTCGATAAATTACCGGAACGTGGTGGGGAGCCCATCCACAAGATCTTCTGACGTTGTACCGGACAACGATTTTATCGGTTTTAGAGTACGGCAGTTTTTGCTTCCAGTCGGCAGCTAAAACGCACATCATCAAGCTGGAACGGATCCAGTATCGTTGTCTTCGTATCGCGTTAGGATGCATGCACTCGACTCATACTATGAGTCTCGAAGTGCTGGCGGGCATGTTGCCACTATCCGTCCGTTTTTCAGAGTTATCTCTGAGGCTCCTCACCCGTTACGAAGTAATGAACCCACTGGTGATTGCAAATTTTGAGAAGCTTCTGGAGCTAAATCCTCAAACATGTTTTATGACTTTGTACTACCTATATTTAACACAGGATGTCAGCCCTTCAAGAAATATTCCCAATCGTGTAATCTTCTCCGATGTCGGCAATTCAGTGAATTTTGATTTATCTATGACGCAGGAAATCCGCGGAATTCCAGAGCATCATCGTCCTATGATTGCTCCGTCATTATACGCTGCAAAGTTTGGCCATGTTGATTCTGCAAGAACGTTTTTCACAGATGGATCTCTAAAAGAGGAGTCCGCTGGTTTTGGTGTATTTAATGAATTTCATAGCGCCTCTCGAAAACTTGAAGCTCCTTGTTCTGTGTATGTGGCTGAACTGGCAGCAATTCACTACACTTTGGAAACAATTGCTTCACTTCTTCCAGACCACTACTTTATTTTTACGGATAGTCTCAGTTCTGTCGAGGCTATCCGTTCCATTAGGCCGGTAGAGCACTTCTCGTATTTTCTCTTGAAAATACGAGAACTGCTTAGTACTTTATCCGTGCGCTCTTTCATCATCACCTTCGCGTGGGTCCCTTCGCATTGCTCAATTTTGGGCAATGAGAAGGCGGATTCACTTGCGAAGGTGGGCGCTATGGAAGGCGACATTTATGATCGACAGATCGCCTATAGTGAATTTTTCTCTATTTATCGTCAGCAGTCGCTCGTTAGCTGGCAACATCAATGGAGTGAAGGGAGCTTGGGACGATGGCTACATTCAATTATCCCTAAGGTGTCGAAGTTTGCATGGTTCAAAGGGTTGGACTTGAGTCGAGACTTCATACGCGTGATGTCTCGTCTCATGTCCAATCACTATTGTCTAAACGCTCACTTGTTCCGTGTGGGGTTGGGAGACAGCAATCTCTGTGAATGTGGACAAGGTTACCAGGACGCTGATCACATCCTTTGGTCTTGTGCAGAGTATCGTGGAGTCAGATCACATTTTTATGATTCCCTTCGGGCTAGAGGTAGACAACCTAATGTTCCAGTTCGGGATATTTTGGCTAGACGTGATCTGGAGTTTATGAAACTCATATATGCTTACTTTAAGGATATTAACCTTAGATTGTAAGTTTGATTAACCTGTGTTTAGTTTGTGTTTTGTACGTCTGGGGTTTTTTTTTTCAATGTTTGTTTTCAAGATAAATAGAAATAATTTCATGCTTTAGAATTAATTAAATAATTATATCGTAAACCACATTCAAAACCTCCTTCTTCCCTTTTCCCATCCAAAAAATTGTAAATCTCCACTAACCTCGAGACGACCGCGAGTACTCGGTCCAGTTCCTTTAATTTTAAATATAAGACAGTAACAATGTATACCGCAAAGGATAACTCGGCTCTGTAAAGTTTATTCGATTGAGCCTGTACAAATAAAGTAATTGCAAAAAAAAAACAAAAAGTGAAGCTTCCTCCATTATTGGTGGTGAAGAAAGTGCCACTCAGAACGCTCATTGGCGATTTCGCATCGCTGGGTGTTGCAGCCGAGTACAAACTCAGCAGGATCCGAACCAAGGTGATGCACCGTACGAAAGCGGAGTAAAGGGTGTCCACGATGAAATTGCCACACACAAAATTGATTCGCAAAATTCGAGTTTTCATCCGATTGCCATCAAATTTTCAGGGATTGAGAAATAACTATTAAACTTCATTTTACCATTTTACTCGTATTTTATTTACAGTCCATACGCAAATGCCCGCACCTTGGCCTTAACCCCGGCCATAAGATTCTGCACAACCTGTGAATCAACCGTTTTTTGCATGTAAACCCATACTTTCTTCAGTTCCTCGACTGTCTTCACTACCTTAGGTCGTTTAAGAAGGTGCTGCTTCATAATCGCCCAGTACTTCTCGATGGGGCGGAGCTCCGGAGTGTTGGGAGGGGTGAACATTTTCGGCACGAAATTGACCTTATTGTCCGCATACCACTTCAGCACGTCCTTGGAGTAGCGGCATGAGGCCAAATCCGGCCAGAAGATTGTTGGGACGTTGTGGGCCTTCAGGAGAGGAAGCAGCCGCTTCTGGAGGCACTCTTTTATGTACACTAGGGTGCTTCATTCTGAAAAAAGTGATGAATTTCTGATGGGCCACCCTCCAGTTCGATTCATAGCCCCAAAATATGAACCTGTGCAAAAATTGGTAAAGATTGATGAAGGTTTAGAGGTCGCGCCAATGATTTGAAATTTGTATGGGAATTACTATGGAAGAATTTAAAAAATCGCTTATATCGCTATAACTTTGCTTCTACTTGTCCAAATGTCGAAAAAATTTAGTATGTTATTGCTATGGCAATAAACAAAAAGCCTACAGTTGCTACGCTTATAAAAATGTGAAAAAATGGCAAAATAGGGTAAATTGACAGATGAATATGTACAAGGCAACAACGCCAATTTCATCGCAACAACAACAGGCTTGTTGATCATTGTCATGACAACCACATATTTTTTTTTTTCAACGTTTGGACAACTACAACCAAAGTTAGAGCAATGTAAACGAAAATCAATAATTTCCCATACTAATTCACCAAAATCTCCATACAAAATCCAAATCATTGGCGCGACCTCTAAACCTTCATCAATCTTTACCATTTTTTGCACAGGTTCATATTTTGGGGCTATGAATCGAACTGGAGGGTGGCCTATCAAAAATTCATCACTTTTTTCAAAATGAAACACCCTAATGTACACCTGTCCGTTCATCGTGTCCTGGGTCACGAAAGGTGCACTCCGCTTCCCGCACGTGCAGATGGCTTGCCAAACCAGGAATTTCTTCGCAAATTTGGACATCTTCTGAGTGCGGACATGCTCCGGAACGCTGAACTTATCCTTGGCCGTGAAAAACAGGTTGCCGGGGATCTGTTTGAAGTCGGTCTTCACATATGTTTCGTCGTCCATGATGCAGCATTCAACTTTCGTCAGCATGTTGAGGTACAACCTCCTGGCACGGGTTTTGGCGGACTTGTTCTGCTTCTCGTCGCGATTAGGGGCCATATGTACCTTGAACGTTCGAAGCCCAGCCTTAGTTTTGGCCTTCTGGACAAAACTTCGGCTTAGGTGCAGCTTCTTAGCCACATCCCTACCGGAGGCGTTCGGATTCCGGTTGAAGGCCCCAACTACGCGGTTGTGATTTTTGGTGTTGTACGGAATACTTTTTCCTTCACTTCTGGGCTTCCGATCGGTGGTCAACCGTTCCTCGAACCGCTTAATCACTCGCGACACCGTGGAATTCGCGATTCCCAACGTTTTAGCGATGGAACGATGCGAGAGATCCTTGTTCTCGTGATGAATGCGCAAGATTTTATCACGCACGAGCTGTTCTTTCGACTTCATTTCCGCGAGTTTTGATCACAGGACTTTAAAACTTGCAGGATGTAAATAATGCACTATGAACTAAATCCACCCAAATTTTCATTAAATTCTACCCAACGGTTAAAAAGTTAGAGCAATTTCATAGTGTGGCAATTTCATCGTGGACACCCTTTATGAAGTGGCTGTCAATTATCTGAAGGATTTTAAGGCGGAATACTTCACGCATGACATCCCTGGTGAGAAGCCCTTCACGATGGTAATCAGGGGCCTACCGAATTTTGCCCCCAAGGCAATCGAAGAAGAAATCAAGGACCGGTACAAGCAATCGCAGTCTTCCGGATGACGATGAGAGACGAAAGCGTGAAAACCTTCCCGGATTGTCTTTTCCTGGTTCACTTTCAGAAGAGGACGGCGACGCTCAATGCGCTGCAAGCCATCCGCTCGATCTATTCCATCATCGTACGCTGGGAGTCGTACCGTGGTGGTCATCGTGACGTAACACAGTGCCAGCGGTGCCTCAACTTTGGTCACGGTACCCGCAACTGTAACATCAAGCCACGCTGCAGCAACTGCGCTCAAGAACACGCCACTTCCAACTGCTCTGCGGATTGAGCCGTGGCATTAAAATGCGCCTACTGTGATGGTGCTCATCAAGGTTCCTACAGACAGTGCTCCAAACGCGAGGACTTTAAACGCATCCGAAAGCAGGCATCAACCAACAACTAACCAGGAAGGAGAAAAGAACTTTCAGGACGGAGGATTTCCCGCCTCTTCGTGCTCCTCAGCAAAGGCAAGTGAATTTATGGGTGCAACCCCCTCTAGAAGCTTCCGGTGATTATGCTGGACAAAGATCTCCACCCCCTGGTTTCTGGAGACAACCAACAGCGCAAAACAACAACCCCGTTCTATTCTCAGCGGATGAACTGATGGAAATCTTCGTCAACAAGACAGGTGCTCTTCATAAGTGCTGCAATAAGCCCGAGCAGATCCAAGTACTCGGTAAGTTCATCATTCAGTATGGCGTCTAAACCACTAACTATCATCACTTGGAATGCTTGCTCTGTAAGAGCTAAACAGATTGAGCTTACCGACTTCCTCCGCAAGCACAGCATCGACGTTGGCCTTCTAACCGAGACCCACCTAAAGTCCGGCGGCAGCTTCTGTTTGCCTGACCACAAAATTATCCGGTTTAATCGCACCAGCTCCTAGAGGGGAGTGGTGTTGTGGTCGTCGTCATGAATGGAATCAAGTTCTACACTCTGCCTCACATCCAATGGCCGATCTGAACAGGCAGATTGCTTTCAGAATGGATTCACTTCGAAATGAAAGTTTTGGGCGTGTTGTCCAGAATCTGGACGATCGCTCCAGACCATTCTGGAAGGTAGCCAAGGTCCTGAAAAATCATCCCAAACCCGTTCCACCTCTCAAAGACGAATGTGATGATGATCGGCTTTTAATCACCCCACAGGAGAAAGCAAATGCGATCGGCGAGCATGTCGCTTCATCGCATTTGCTTGGCTCGACTATCCAAAGTCCGCTCGATGATCAGGTTGCGCAATGCGTTCAAAACCTAGATGCCTCCCCTTGTGTCGTGCCTCCGGCGGATATGATTACAGTACAACAAATTTGCTCAGCGCTGAAATGCACCAAGAACATGAAGGCTCCCGGGTTTGACGGTATATTCAACTTGATCTTGAAGAGACTCAGCATGAAAGTGCAGTCTCTTCTAACCGCTATCTTCAACAGATGTTTGGAACTGCACTACTTTCCAAGCATCTGGAAAGTAGCAAAAATCATACCGATCCGCAAACCCGGTAAGGATCCAACATTGTCTTCAAGCTACAGACCAATCAGCCTCCTTTCAGCACTGAGCAAATTGTTCGAGAAACTCATTCTCAATCGTTTGCTCAAGTTTGTCGAGGAAAATAACATTCTCCTTCCGGAACAGTTTGGTTTCAGAAAGGGGCACTCCACCAATCACCAGCTAGTGCGGGTGATGAATAACATCCGAAGTAACAAAGCTGCATCCAAGTCCACAGCCATGGCCTTGTTAGACGTTGAGAAAGTGTTTGATAATGTCTGGCCTGACGGACTTGTTTACAAGCTTTGTAACTTCAACTTACAATTACATCTGGTTAAAATCACCCGTAACTACCTCCAGCAAAGGTCGTTTAAGGTATCGTTGAATGGTTGTCTTTCCCATCCCAGCAGGTGTTCCGCAAGGGAGTCTGTTGGGCCTTTTGCTTTACAGAATCTACACTTCCGACATTCCTCCCCTCGGAGACGGTCAAAGGAAGGATGCCTCGCGAAGTAACAAACAAACTTCAACGATGCCTTTACTGATTATGCCAACACGTGGAAAATCAAAATCAATGCTGCTTAAGCTCAAGTAATTATGTTCCTCCATCGGCAATCGCCCAAACTAAAACCGGCTCCACCTTGTACTGTAATCATGGATGGCACAATGGTTGAGTGGTCTGCCGGAGTAATCTATTTCGGGATGTTGTTCGACGAAACAAGCCATTTTAGAAAACCCCCAAAGTGGTTGATTACAGTTTGTGAGTCGAAGAATCAACTGGATATTTTTATATTTAAAAACGTAATTTTAGAAATAAAGAATATTGCATGCAATTCGACTAAGCTTCCTGTAAAAGTTCTGTGTTATATCCAATGTCCAGATAAAGGTTTGCGTAATCTGAGACTTAAATAAATCAAATTCTATGGAATTGTGATAGTTACTTCATTAAGGAAATTTTCAGTCGGAAAAAGATTTGTCTCTTACAACTGGTACTTAATGTTTTGTATTTTCAGACAGTAGAAGAGGTACAAAACACTACAAAAAATCAAGATTGTATGATTTCAAGATTTTTAAAATAGACAAATTCTTTAGAAAGCAAACTTTAGTAATTTTTCATGATTCTAAACATTGAACAAACTCCTTCTGAACTATGAATTTGCTCAATGAAGATTTACGTAAATTCACACTGAGACCATAATAAGAAATAAGCCAGATACAGATTAAAAAGATTTTTTGCGATGAAAATACAGATTGAACTTCGAAAAAATGTGGCATCACTAGCATCGCATCGCTTTTGGTTCTAGGGCACTTGCTGGTTGCAATTTTTAGATCAGGATTCACTGTTATGCGATCAGTTGTAAGCAGCAGAAATTTCCTTCCCAACTCTCTTGTGGAATCTTTTAGTGGCTCTGAAAAGGGCCGGTTTTGATAGATTTCGACGGAAACATTAAGAGCGTTCACCACAAATACGAAGAGTCAGCTGAATGTCCTTTGGCATAATTGTGACACGCTTGACGGGAATGGCGAACTTAGTTTAAATGATCTTTATTTTTGTTTAACTTGGACAATTACCATATAAATTTTTACTAAGTGATTTAATTGCTTTCTTCATCAAATTTCAAAAATTTGTTTTACAGAATTAGTCCTAGACTTAGTACACGGTCGACCACCTTGGTGGGATTGGTTTGTTTTGTTTTTAGAATTTGAAGAGAAACTACCTAATACTACTATTGACAGCTTAAAACTAACCTACTCTACTATATACACTTAACCTACTATGTACAAATTGCTTATTAAAGCATGTTCAGAAAGATTGCATTTTTGAATAAATTTAGTTGTCATATCATCAATTTTGGAATCTACTTTGGGAATTTCTGCCTCTTGATGGAGGTCTGCTATTCTTGTGTCGAATGGACGATCTAGGATCATCCTCAACACTCTATTCTGTGCAACCTGGATTTTGTTCCTGTGCGTCTGAGCGCACGATTCCCACACCGGGGCGGCATAAAAGATCGCGGGGGCTATGATCTGTTTGTAGACAGCCAGTTTGTTTTGCCTTGAGAGGCGGGATCTGCGGCAAATGAGCAGATACAAACACCTAACCAAGGCGGAGCACTTAACTAGGGTTTTCTCTATGTGCGAGCGGAACAGGAGCTTCTCATCGAACAACATCCCGAGATAAGTAACATCAGTGGACCACTCGACCCTTGTACCATCCATTATTACGGTACAGGAGGGAGACGGTTTAAGTTTTGGTGATTGTCTGTGAAGGAACATGATCGCTTGGGTTTTCGAGGCGTTGATTTTGATTTTCCACGTGGTGGCATAATCAGTAAAGGTGTCAAGGCATCGTTGAAGCTTGTTCGTAATTTCACGAGGCATCCTACCCTTGACGGCTATCGCGGTGTCATCTGCGAACAGGAAGAACACGCAACCGTCTCCTAGAGGAGGGATGTCCGACGTGTAGATGCTGTAAAGCAGTGGTCCCAGCAGACTCCCTTGCGGAACACCTGCTGGGATCGGAAATTGTCCCGAAAGGGAACTATTCAACGACACCCTGAACGACCTTTGCTGGCGATAGTTACGGGTGATTTTCACAAGGTATGGTGGAAAGTTGGAGTTACAAAGCTTGTATATAAGTCCGTCGTGCCAGACATTGTCAAACGCCTTTTCGACGTCTAACAAGCCCATGGCTGTGGACTTGGATACAGCTTTGTTACTCCGGATGTTATTCATCACCCGCACTAGCTGATGATTGGTGGAATGCCCCTTACGGAACCCGAACTGTTCCGGAAGAAGAATGTCATGTTCCTCCACAAACTTGTTTAGTCGGCTGAGGATCAATTTTTCGAACAGCTTGCTCAGCGCTGAGAGCAGGCTAATCGGTCTGTAGCTTGACGGTAGTGAAGGGTCTTTCCCAGGTTTGCGGATCGGGATGATTTTTGCCACCTTCCAGATGCTTGGAAAGTAGTGCAGCTCCAAGCATCTGTTGAGGATGGCAGCCAGCAGCGAGTGCACCCTCGCGCTGAGATTTTTCAACTCTAGGTTGAATATTCCGTCAAACCCGGGAGCCTTCATGTTCGTACTGTGTTTCAGCGCTGAGCAAATTTGTTCCTCTGTAATCCGTTCTTCTGGAGGGACGGCACAAGGGGAGGCATCTAACGTCTGGACGCACTGCACAACCTGGTTCTCGAGTGGACTTGGGATTGTAGAGCCAAGCAAATGCGACTGGGCAATGTGCTCCCCAATTGCATTGGCCTTCTCTTCGTTGGTGATAAGCCGTTCGTCATTGACTCTAAGTGGTGGAATGGGCTTGGGGTGAGACTTCAGCACCTTGCAAACCTTCCAGAATGGTCTGGAACGGTCATCCAGGTTCTGAACGAGCCGCCCGAAACTCTCGTTCCGGATTGAGACCATTCTGGAAGCGATCTGCCGATTCAGATCGACCATTTCGTATTTACGCTGCAGATCCCCAGTCCGCTGAAACTGGCGTCTACGAACATTTCTGAGCCGAATCAAGAGTTTGGTGTGGGAATCAATTGCTTGAAACTTACCCCTCACTCGTCGAACGCACTCTTCGTCAGCCACGGATATGGCTTGATGGAGACCCTCCAGGGCCCGGTCGATGTCCTCCACTGTGTCGAGCGGTGGGTTGTCGTCGATGTGGCGGTCGACCACGCGTCGAAACTGGACCCAGTTGACTCGATGGTAGTCCTTCCGCTGGCACGGTGCAGGGGCCACGTTGTAGCCCAGCTCGGTCAGCACCGGTTGGTGGTCCGAACTCAGGTCGTTGACGGCAACCGGCTTGGCTAATCTGGTGTTTGCCAAGAACAGGTCCAGCGTCGATGGGTTGCCCGTCGGTGATGTGAAGGTTGGTTCGTCCGGAAACCAGACGGAATAGAGACCATGCTGGGAATGGTCGAATAGCAGGCGCCCGTTCTGGTTCTGCTGGTAGTTCCGCCAGGCCTCGTGCCGGGCGTTCAGGTCCCCTCCGATTACAAAGCGGGCATTGGTGTGGGTTATGATGGCAAGGTCGTTCTTGAACTGCTGTGCTGTACCATTGCTAACGGTACATTGCCGGGGGCAGTAGACAACGATGAACCGGACGTTTCCGGTCGATGTTTCCACCTCAACGCCGACGGCCTCGATGATGGAAGTGCGGTAGTGGGGTAGGGTGCAGTACTTGATGCCTTTCTTGATGATGACCGCGACACCGCCCCCCCTGGAGCTGGTGCGATCAAGCTGGACAATGCTGTGGTCGGGCAGCCAGAAGCTGTCACCGGTCTTGAGGTGGGTCTCGGTGAGAAGGCCCACGTCGATGTCGTGCTTGCGGAGGAAGTCTGCAAGCTCAATGTTTTTCGCCCCTACGGAGCGAGCGTTCCAGTTGGCGATCTTTATGGGTTCACGGTCCATAATTAGCGACGAAGGAGATGATAGCTTGGAGCTGTTGTGTTCTTGTTGCGCAGGTGCGCTTGATGATGATGGCCTGGGCCAACAGTGTGACGATCTCATCCGTTGACAGCGGAGAATCGTCTGTAGCTTCACCGGTTGTACCGGCCAATCCCGGAGCAGGGGGATCCGTCGATGGCCCGGAGGCTTGACCAGGTACTGCAGCGGCAGCCAACTGTTGGTTGAGCGGGAGCGGCGGCAACACTGGAATTGGCCGTGATTGGACCGGTGATAACGGAGGAAAGTTCTGCGCGTTGTTTTCTGGAACCTTCTTGCGACCGGGCTGGCTGTTGGACGAGGCCTTCTTCCGGATCTCGGCGTATTCGGCCCGCTTCGGACAGGCCTTACTCGTGGCCTTGTGGGCGGCACCGCAGTTGGCGCATGTGGGAGTGGCTTCCTCGATGCTGTCGCAGTTGTCGATCTTGTGGTTTTTGCCGCATTTGATGCAGCGGCTGGCCATGCGGCAATTCCTGGTGCCGTGCCCGAACAATAGGCAGTTCGAGCACTGAGTGACGCCACGGTGGGTGGGTTTATACCGCTCCCACTTCACTACGATGTGGAACAGTGTGCGTGTCGTCTGGAGATCCTTCACGGTTGTGGAGTTCTTCTCCAGATGGACCAGGTAGAGCTGGTCACGATACTTGATGGCCTTGCTGCGGGTCATCATGTGGACTTCGACCGGCTTGAGGCCGTTCGCCTTAATCTCGTCCATTAAGGTGGTGGTGTCCATGTCGTGGAGCCCGCGCAGCACCACTTTCAGCGGCTTGGTGGCCTCGATGTCGTGGGAGAAGTACTCCAGCTTCATTCTGTCCAAGAGGGCCTGAACTGCGTTGAAGTGTTTTTCGGCCGGGACCATCAGTTTGTAGCCTTCCGTGCACCGTTGAATGGTGCAGCGAAGGCCCTGCTTAATGTAGAAATACAGCTGCTCCCATAGCCCGGGAGGGAAGCCCTTCACATAGAAGGGTGGCAACTTAACTTTTTTCGGCACCGTCTCAGGGTCCGACTGCGACTGGGCTCCGTTCTGCAGGGCGGAGAACGGATTGTTGCTCAGCAGCTTTTTTGCTGCTGATACGGTGGCGCTGCTGTCTTCAGGTCTGGGTCGTTTAGTTCCGGGAGGCCCCGGCTGCGGGTCCGCAACGCCTGTCGGGATGGGCAATGGGGTTTTCTTCTGCTTCTTCTGGGCTGGCTCGGTGGTCGCGCCGTCTCCTGGGAGAGTCTGTTTTCCCGGTAAACCGGCACTCGCGTTACCGCGCGATTTCTTACCCATGGCTGGGTCAGCGAGAGCGTCACTACACAACGCGGAGCTAATTCGACTTGCGAACGAACGAACGAAACTAGAGAGAGTTCAAATCGACTGAACTGCTCAACAGTCTGGCAGCGAATCGATGATGGAACGGGCGACCTTGTTGGACGCTTATATAGTAGAACAGAAAATATCAGAGGTGTCAGATACTCGCATCTGATGTCTCGGTTGGAGAAAGTATAAGAATATCAAAAAATCAATCGATTTTCACCATCTTTAGACAATGGTTTACTTTTAACCATGTTTCAATAGTTTACAGAATGAAATCAATAGTTTTGAAACATTCAGCAAATTGCTAGAAATATTTCCAATCCATTGATCCCTTTATTTCGTAAATCTATCGAGAGACGGTTGAGTTATTATTGTTCAAAATCTTTTAATTTTTCGTAACGCATCCAAAATGACTGTTTTCAATTTTGTACCCCCGTATGTTGCCGAAAGACGTTATCCAACGTCAAAAATGTGGCATCACTAGCATCGCATCGCTTTTGGTTCTAGGGCACTTGCTGGTTGCAATTTTTAGATCAGGATTCACTGTTATGCGATCAGTTGTAAGCAGCAGAAATTTCCTTCCCAACTCTCTTGTGGAATCTTTTAGTGGCTCTGAAAAGGGCCGGTTTTGATAGATTTCGACGGAAACATTAAGAGCGTTCACCACAAATACGAAGAGTCAGCGGAATGTCCTTTGGCATAATTGTGACACGCTTGACGGGAATGGCGAACATACTCGAGGGTATACTTATACCTGCGTCGAGTAGCATATTATTAATACAGGGAGGGTACAATACATACAGTGGCAATACTGAAAAGGGGAGGAGTTTCGCTTCTTATGCTACGGGCACAAAACGAGACACCACCTTCGAAACCAGCTAAAAGGCCGCCAGTGGAAAGGCCGCCAAGAAGTCCGGAAAGGCGCAGAAAGTCATCGTCAAGGGAGAGAAGAAGAAGAGGAGACAGCGTAGGAAAGAAAGCTATGCCATCTACATCTACAAGGTGTTGAAGCAGGTCCACCCGGACACCGGAGTCTCGTCGAAGGCCATGAGCATCATGAACAGCTTCGTCAATGACATCTTCGAACGTATTGCTGCTGAGTCGAGTCCCGTCTGGCTCAATACAACAAACGCTCGACGATCACCTCCGGCGAAATCCAAACTGCTGTCCGTCTGCTGCTGCCGGGTGAGTTGGCCAAGCACAGCTGTCTCTGAAGGAACCAAGGCCGTCACCAAGTACACTAGCTCCAAGTAAATTCGTACCATCCAAACAATCAATCGGCCCTTTTCAGGGCCACAAATCGATTTCCAACGTGAAAGAGGTTTTGATGATTTATTGAGCGTTAGCAAAGTTCGCGATAAGAAATCAGTTGATTTGCCTTATGAAAATAATGTTGACAAAAAGATTAAGAGGTTGTATCCATGACACGACTGTACGGTTTTGACGTAGGACGTCTGTGATTTCTATATGGGGGTACACATTGTGAAAACCGAAAATGGAACATGAATTAATTGTGACACGCTTGGCATGGATGGCGAACAGACCGACCAGATAGGCCTCGCTGAATTCCTGTAGGGCCATTAACGGCCGCGCTCTGGAAGCGCAGTTCGGTCTTGAAATCCTGGGCGATTTCACCGACCAGACGCTTGAAAGGCAACTTGCAGTCAGCAGCTCGGTCGATTTCTGGTAACGACGGATCTCACGCAAAGCGACAGTTCCTGGCCGGTAGCGATGAGACTTCTTCACTCCTTCATCTGGCCATCTGTTTGAGAGGAGCCTTTCCTCCGGTGGACTTACGAGCGGTCTGCTTGGTGCGGCCGTTATGCGATGTGGATACGTTGAACGTAATCTGTTGAATAAAAAATTTAATTACCCAGCACAATCATGGGCATTGGCTCCAAGACAAATCTGTACGATAGTAAATAGAACAGAAAATGAAAATATAAAAATGAGGTAAGGAAAATAATTAAAATATGCTTCAGATTAATACCTGGCTGAATAAAGATACACATTACCATTTATTATATAAGACCACGTAGTCCTACGTCACCATTGCGAACAACCCCATAGGGCTGTCCCTTGTAGTTTTCCAATTTCAAACAAACCAATCCCAGCAAAGTGGGCATTCCCTAAAACAGGCCAGATAGGACTAGGAACTTTATAAAATGATTATAAAATTTCAAATAAATTAAAGTTGGAAAGACGCATCTGTGTCACTTAAAAAATCATACATGTATACCACACAAATTCCCGAAATAAAGATCATTTAAAGTAGAAAAAGTGTACAGATCAGTTTCAATAACCAGTCTCTTCGTGGATAATCAAAAAGGAAATAAATAGTTTGAGGTAGATAACCTTTAGATACTACAACAGTTACATTTCGAAAACATGGAAATAATTCAACTCGAATGTTTCAGCTCTAAGCGAAACGAAACGAAACTAAACACAGGTAAAACAGAGCTGCAAAATATTCCGCGGAATTTTCGAGGCGAAATAAACGGAATTACTCGATACATCGCATACCCTAACATTAATTTTTAATTTATTTCAAACGCCACGGAGACAGCAAACGTCACGTCCCTAAATCGTTCGCGAATCAATCGATCCGCACTTTTCCTACCACGCTGCATATCACCCTTTTTCGGTTCGAACTTTTCTCACTCAAATGAGCGCATTCACAATGTCCCTTCTCTCGCACGCTATAATAATGAAAAAAACTTGAATAAAAAATGTGCAAACAAACATTGAAATATGCACGCACAAGTGCACCACTCTACTCTCATTCTCGCGGGTTAAATCCCACTCCCCATCCTTCCATCCTCATTCCAAGAAGCTCACTCCCGTCCATTCGAGTGATAAACAAACCCGAGCGAAAGAGTCGAGTGGGGCTACAGCGGTACGGGTGTATTGGTGAACGCCAGCTCGGTGACATGATTACATTTTATTAGCGCAGGCATTCCCATCGCAATATAGTTTCTCCAACTAGCGCACTCACACACTGTTGCCGATCCGACTTCTTTGAGGCGAAAATGATCACACCACACCACGGGTGAGGAGCAGCGCTGTGAGCGATGAGAAGCGAGAGAGAGAGAGAGAGCGGACCATCCATGTGGTGGATGAACACCACCGTCCTACAAGCTAATAAAGGGTTGCATTCTCGAGTCTCGAATACAAGCACATAGAGGTACTAAGTTCACGATGGTAAATGTATTAGCCGTCTCGTACTAAGTTATTGCTCGTGTTGTGTGTTGTTGGTGCGGTACGGTAAGGTTAGTGCGAATTTGCGATGTTGATGTTTGTTGTTGCTGTTGCTATTGCTGTTTGGAGGAGCACGAAGCGGGCAACTCTCGTCGGAACCGTCGTCGTCGTTGCATCTCGTGCAGCCGCAGTTGTTCGTCAGTTCGTCATCGATGCACTTGGTTGTTGCACTTCGGTCCGCGTTGTATCACAAACTGGCAGTTAGTTTATTCGCGACGGCATCCGAGCGTGGATCGTGTGTGGTGGAATCCTTTGGAATCTGATTGAAGAGGAGAATTTCACTGAGTTCTAGCTTACATTGTGCTTGCCCGAGCGGGTGTTTTGTTTGAACAGTGGAAATTAGATTTCCCGTCCCGTCGATCGAGCGCTGATCGTTCGTAGTGGTAATCTGGTACGGTTTGCACCGCCGTTGAAGAGGAGTAGAACGGCAACGACGACGAAGATTTTAATCTCTGCTGCAGTTTTTGCGGCGGCACGTGCCTGCACTTGAGAAGAGTTTTCGCAAAGCGAGCAGCGCCGCCAAGTTTGCGCCTACTACTTTGTCCACTCAATAGCTTCTTCGATAGCGAGTGACTACTTCCGTCTTTCTATTTCTGGCGGCTCGTCGTCGCGTTCGGCCGCTATGTGACAGATAAAACTGACAGTGCCGAGCGGCTGAAATATCCTGGTACCTACGTACGTTATCACTGATAAAATGTGCATCGTTTGAGGTTGCAGTTATCAAAAGATAAAAAAAAAGAGTGAAACCATCGAAGGAAAGTTGAAACTTAGTGCCGCGAGCGTGTGTGTGCGTGTGTGTAGCTTGAATTTCATCTCGACCGAGAGTTCGGCTGTGAAAATTTTGCCGCGATAACGCAATTCGTCCTCGGTTTCGAGCAAGGTTTGATTATTTTGTTGTCGTTTTGAATACTGTTTTTTTTTTGTTTTGCTTCATCCGCTCTCTCGTCGGACGGGATTATTCACACGCGGTTTTGAATAATCTTTTTTATGCTCGCTGCTGCTCTTGGTTTGTGTGAATACGCGCGATTTGTTTGCGCTCACCGGTTTGAAAATATAACCGAATGAGATAGTGAAGTGACGAAGACGAAGTTAGTAGTGGGGAAGAAATATATATATAAAAAAACGTAAAACGTGCTCTACTAGTGAAACAATATTGATAAAATTTAAAACATAAATCGTAGGCGACAAAAAATTATCAGTTCATTCACCTTTCGCCGCGAAAACCAAAAGTGAGGGTGCCGACAAGGAGAGAGAGAGAGCGATATTAGTGACGGTGACAAGTCGATAGAACCGGTGAAATCAGTCCTATGAGCGGTGTGTTGTGTCACCAAAACGTGCAAGATTAAAAAAAAAAATTCTGTAAATTGTGTTAAATAAGCGCACGTGTGTGAGTATGCGTTGTTCATTGATTTTGATTTGAGGCTCCGATTCCGACGAGCTAGACTAGAGTAGAGTACACGTCATTTCGAGAAACGCTACATTACTTGCGTCGAATAGCAACAGCACTCTGTAATTTGGGTCAAGGTAACTATGAAATCCCTGGTATTATGTCGTTCTCGGGAATTGCAGGGATAGATTAACCATATCTTTTGCTTATCATACTTATAAAAGATTGATTGAATTATAACAATGTCTGAATTATAAATCTCCATTCTGTCTGATAGCTGCCATAATTTGTATGAAACCAATGATTTTCTAGCTACAATGATTTGGGGAAACTAACTTTGTTCGAACTTTGTGAATTCTGTATATTTTTCGTGGAAATCTCTAGTAAAATCTTACTTTTCCCGGTTGGGAGAAGGAATGTTAAGTGAACCGAAGCTGCACCCGGTTTTGTTGTTATCACGGTTCACTAAAATATGTGGTTTTTCATAAAATCGATACAGCACTTTTTCAAGCCGGTCACTTTAAAGTCACTACAGTAATTTTTTAAATAAATTTTGAAAGTCATTCTTCCTTGTTTCCAATATTCTTTAAAATTTGTTTTATACTCATATAAAGTCAACTTTAATGCCTGAATAATTGTGTTTTCTGGAGCCACTTGCCGTAGTATTATACTTGTCACAGAATTAAGAAGAATAGTGACCAGCGATCTTAGGTCAAGCGATTTTCAAATCAGCTACTATTGACCAATTTAATAAATTGAGATAAAACCGGGAAATAACCAGGAATTTGCAAAGCATCCGGAAAAACCCGGGAATTCAAAGGGAGAGCCGAGAATTTCAATAAACCTCAAAATACGGTCACTGAAGTTATAGGTTTTATTTTTATTTATTTTATAAAAATGTAGAAGTCTATTACTGTGAAAAATGTTGTTTTTTTTCTAACGCAAACGTATTATAAAGTGAATGAAATTCAAATTCATGAATTCGTCATGATGTCTGAGCCATGCAGATCTAAAGTTTTCCGACTTATGTTAATTCGAATGTAAAAATCAACTTTTTTTTGTTTAAACTTAGAGTCATTTCCGAACTCTTTGAAGTTTCTTCAAACAATCAAATTCTCCTCTGAAAAAGTTTAATTGTCCTAATAAAGGAGTTGAACTGAACTGAAGTCCTAAATTAGCTCATGTTGCCATTTCCTAATAAAAGATAATTGTTTGTGGAATTTTACCCAGAATACGATTCCTTTGGTTGGTTCGGTTTTCTTTATTTAAGAGATAACGGCACCGGTGATGTAGTGGTAAGCGTGATTACCTCTCACTCCAGCAGGCCTGGGTTTAATCCCAGTCGGTGCCGCCGGGTTGTTCTGAGGCATAACGTCTCTGATCACGCCTGCCTTCGGAAGGGAAGTAAAGCCGTTGGTCCCCGGTTCATTAGTTGATGGGTCGATAGGTAGGGTTCAGGTGTGGGAGCTGCCTCCCTGGCGTCGATAGCATTAGTGCTCAGCACGGAAAACAATATCGACGGAAAACTAATCAAGGAAAAAAGTATATACATAATCGTCTTTCAGCCGTAGGCTGCTTCATCTCTGTGTGCTTTTTTTTTTGGCAGGGT